TGGCTCACGAAGGCTCGCCCCTGCCGTCCGCTCTCCCCGCTCCCGCCTTCTGCCGCGTTTCCACGATACACCCGCAGAGTGCGCACGGCCGTGACGTCACCCCCGGCGCTGTTGTCGCCGGGCGGTCAGCGGGGGAGGGCGCTGCCGCTGACCCTTCTTCCCACCAGAGGCTGCGCCGAGGCGTCGCGAGGGATCTGGGCGCCCTCTTATTGAAGGGTCCTCCTCCTATCGGTCCTAATGCCCAGCCTTTTGGATCCCACGGCGACAAGAAGGAACGGGAGCGGGCAGGCAGGTCACGCAGGCAGGAGCCACCCCCTCTCCCGGTCCTTTTAGCTTTCTGGCTGGTTCTTTTTATTAGGCTTGTTTATTTATTTCATTTATCACATTTATATCCCGCCGCAATCACGAGCGGGCTCTCGGCGGCTCCCGGTAGGAGAAAAGAGTAAATAAAAATAAAAAACCGCAATAACCTACAACCCAAATTACAGAACTATCCCAGACAGCATCTGGCGTCAGCCCGCAAGCTTCTTCCGGAAAAGCTCCGTTTTCAGTAGCTTCCGGAAGGCGAGTTGGGGTGAAATACTGAGGGGCTGCTGACTTCTTGCAGCCGCTTCGCTTTTACCGTGCTGCTAGAACAGAGAAGAAGGGCATCCCATCTTACTCTGGAACGTCTTGGACCTCTTAGCCTTATGTTCAGCAAATTCTTAAGGAGATTTGCATCTCTGTGGCTAAGATGGTAATTAGGGATCTGGGATTTTTTGAAGGGTAATACAGTACTGTATATACCTGCATCTTTTCCTATGCAGGATCAGAAAGTCGGTGCAGGAAGGAAACTTTTTCCACGCTACGAACTAAAAGGTTATTACCATTTAATAGCTGACAGTCTTCCTGTCACACTCTTGATAAGGTACAGCGCGTGAGGTTCTTTGAATGCTGTAAAAGTACTGGATTTTGCACTCTGTTTTTCACTGGTTTGAGCTGAGGAAAGAGCAAATAGCCGCAAGATGCCAGCGAAGGTCTCGTGGTTCCAACCAGTAGTCCAGTGACCCCTGGTGGTTTGCGAGGATAATGAATTTGGGGTCCAGTGGTGTCCCGGGGGCTGTGTTAGCATTCCTTGGCTTAGGTCTTTAAAATGTTTAGATGACAACATCCGACAGAATGTAAAAATGTGGGAACGGGTGGTTAAGATCTGGCCAAGAAAACAGAAAGCTGTAAGATTCATACCTAGGCCCAGATCATGTCACACATTTAAGGTTCATATTCAGTAGTGGGATAAATCCTCAACAGATTTTAAAAAATAACACTAAATTTTTGGAAAAGCAGCTGGCTTAACAGGAACCATTGCCTTGTTGGATGCTAGTGCTTCTAAAGTGAAAACAGTTTGGCTGTTGTGATGGTTAGAATCAATTTAATATTTTCTTTGCTCTCTGACTTCCTAAACCTGATATTCATAATTTTGGAAACAATCTCTAATTGTTTTATACAGTTTTTAATTGACAGCTGTTGACAGAGAATGCCAATTTTCACTGAGAGTTATACATACAGTCCTAATGCATGGAGAAAACTCACATATATTATCATTGCTTTTTGAATATATACAGCCATTTGCAGTTAGATAAACAATACAGTATACGGTACTTTAATCTGAAGAACTGCACATTAACAGAACAAAGCTGAAGGTCTGTTCATAAGACTGAAAGTAACTGATATTATTTCTCAGCCTCCCAATCACTGTGCCCTTATAAAATCTTCAGTAATGAGGAAAGGATGAAGCTAAGTTTTAAATAGCTGAATAACAGACTGAAATGCTGAGTAAGATACTGGTGTGAGGTATAGACTTGTGTCAATGGATGGCTTTTGGATTTAAAAGAAACTTAATTTTTGTCCTAAAAACTTACTGGGCTTACATAAGAAAATAAAGGGTTGTATGATTGTCTGACCAGTTAAATATTGACAAATTTTTCATCTGCATGCTTCATTGGAAATCTAGTAGGATGACATTTTAGGGCAAAAATTTAATCCTGATGTCAGAACCTGCATCACCCAACTGTTATTGTTTTCCATTGTATTGCATTAGATGGGAGTTGGATTGATTTGTTTCTGCCACTTGTAACTAAGGAGGGGGGGTGGCTCTTAATGGTTGTAAGGGCAATTTAGACTGGCTGGATGGCGGGCCGGGCAGCGGGGGCCAAAAGAACCGGGAAGAAGCTCGGGGAGGAGGGGGAGGAAGGAGAGAGGTCAACAACAGGTGAAGAGGAATCACGCCAA